AAAAAAGTTTTTATGTAGGGCCTCTTCAGTGGCGCAGAGGTTGAGCGCTGGGCTGCGAAGCTGCCCGCAGCCTCTGCAGCGCCGGTTCGATCCCTGGCCGCTGGGCGAGGGTCCCACATGGCGCAACAGACCTCTCCTGCCGCCAGCTGCTCCCCTCAGTGGTGCACTTCGTCAGTCTGCCTGTTCTGCTTTCCTCTCTGGCACTGGAGAATTCTTTCACCCTCCCGCGCTTCTGACTGTACCCCAGTGCTTGTATAAATAAATAAATAAATCTTTTAAAAAAAAGTTTTTATGCAATTTTTGAAACTAATAAAGAGTTTTAAAAATAAATGCTGAAGGGAAAGGGAAGGAGAGAGGGAGAGAGAGAATGGCGTGGAGAATGGTAGAATGTGGTGAAGGACCGTGGGCACTTTGGTGATGGGAAAACTATGGTGATGGCACCTAAGGGGAGAAATCCTATAATGTGAAAAAATAAACAAGGATGTTTAAAAAGTAAAAAAAATACAGAAATGAAATAAAATGCTTCCTCTTAATCAGAAAGGGGATGAACAAGAGACATAATGAATCACAGTAAATGTGTTTTTAAAAAGGATTTGCAAAAGCTTAGGGAGACTCCACTAGTCAGCCAGGCACAGAATCGCCATAAATGAAGAGCATTTATTAAAAATTAAAATCACACTGCAGGAAGTTGTATATGATTAAATGAGACTCTTGAAATAATACTATCACTTTTTTCCCTCCCATTCTTTTGTGTCATTTTATGGCTCATAGTGATTAATGGTTATTAGTAATAACTCCTTTGTGAGCAAAGCTGAAACTCATTACAGTACCACAGTCCCAGAGCCTAAATGTGATTAAGAATAGACTCAGTTTGAGTTACATCATTTGTAGTAAAATGCTACCCTTATGTAACTACCCCTGGATTTTAACTGAAAATGCTACTATGATTTTAGCTGTTCAAATTGTGTAACCTTGTTCCTCACAGGCCCACTGGAAATTCTCAAGTGCTGCTATTTCCCAGGTGATTAGAATAAAGTCCAGGGCTTCCATGGTGGCGCAGCGGTTGAGCACTGGGTTGCAAAGCTGCCCGCAGCCTCTGCAGTGCCGGTTCGATCCCCGGCTGCTCCCCGGCCACCTGAGGAGGGTCCCGCATGGCGCACAGACCTCTCCTGCCGCCCGCTGCTCCCCTCAGCAGTGTACTTTGGTCCTTCTGCCTGCTCTGCTCCCCGCTCTGGCTCTGGTGAATTCTCTCACCCTCCTGCACTTCTGACTGTACCCAGTGCATGTATAAACAAAACAAACAAACAAATAAATAAATAAATAAAACATGCCTCTATTTAAAAAAAAAGAATAAAGTCCAAACAGTTTCTTAACATCCCTGAAAAGGTTAGATTCGAGGAAATAGAAACTTTGAATCACAAGTGTACTAAATCAGGACCCCCCTGGTGGCGCAGGTGGTTGAGCACTGCACTGTGAAGCTGTCCACAGCCTCTGCAGTGCTGGTTTCACCTGGCTGGCCAGCAAGAATCCAACATGGCACAATAGACCTCACCTGTCTCACCCGCTGCTCCCAGTATATTTCAGTCATTCTGCCTGTTCTGCTCCCTGCTTGGTCTCTGGTGAATCCTCTCACCCTCCCGCACATCTGGCCTATACCCCGGCTCTTGCATAAAAATAAATAAATCTTTTTAAAAAAAAAAAACAAGTGTTCTAAATCAGAGTCGGAAAGCCTTCAGCTGCTTCCAATCTTCTGCTTAATACAACTTAAACTTTCAGCCCTTTGATTGAGAGGAAGATCACTCATTTATTTCATGTTTTGAGCTGGTTCTTGGGCAGAGTAGCAACAGTATAAATAGTTCCTCAAGCTTTTTTTTTTTTTTTTTTTTTAGTTCCTCAAGCTTGAACAACAGCACTTAGGAGACAGCTGGGAGCTTCAGGGCTAAATCTCAGAGCTGAGTTTAAGACCTGCACCAGAGCCAGGCTGCCCAGCGGCAGAAACCAGAGATTCCTGCACTGCTCTGAGCTGTCTATATAAAACAAGGATTCAGTCTCAGAAGACCTATGTCTGCCTCTCAGCTGGGCTACCTAGAGCACAGAATCTAATGACTGCCTGCAGAGAAAATGGAGTTAAATCAGGCTTTTCCCCCCATTCCCTTCCCTAGCCTCTATGGCCTGCAGCTGTGGCTTTGCATTCCTACTTGGTTGTGTTGCCTTTGCAATGCCAGGGGCTGAGGAAGAGCACCTTTGCAGCATGCGCATATGTAAATGCAGATACCTGTGCCTACAAGAAAGTGGGATAAAAGGGGCTCTTCAGCTTTGGCGTTCAGGACCTTGGTGGCGTCACTCAGGTTAGTGGGCCCAGTTGCTGTCTCCCTACCTGTTGGTCTGTTCCCTGATTCAGCATTTAAAGTCTTATGAAATAACACCAAGGGCTCCAAAATTCTCTTTTCATCTGAGACAACTGACAATGAACCTACCAGGCCTGGGAGGGTTGTATAACACTGCCTTTCAGGCTTCTGCTGGCCTGCCTGGGAGGTATTTAACATCCCCACCTCCTTGCTGGGCCCTCAGCCTCCTCTTCCTCCTCCTGTCCCATTCCTTTGGTCTCCTACAGCTGAGCCCAAGTTACTTCGTCTATTCCCTCAACACTCTCTTTCAGAGAAATTTTTTTCATATCCTATTCCAGGCTAGCTTCTGTATGCATCTGTGTGCCAAGGATTCCCAAATCCTGACCCTTGGAATGACTCTTTTTTTTTTTTTTTTTTTAAATTTGTAGCTTTTTTTTTTTTTTTAAAGATTTATTTATTTATTTATACAAGCACTGGGTACAGTCAGAAGCGTGGGAGTGTGAGAGAATTCACCAGAGCCAGAGCGGGGAGCAGAGCAGGCAGAAGGACCGAAGTACACTGCTGAGGGGAGCAGCGGGCGGCAGGAGAGGTCTGCGCGCCATGTGGGACCCTCCTCCGGTGGCCTGGGAGCAGCCAGGAATCGAACCGGCGCTGCAGAGGCTGCCGGCAGCTTAG